CCCACCAACAATACCCAACAATACTGAGCCACGGATGCCGCCCGGCCTGCCTGCTGCCTGCTGCCCCCTATCCTATCTCTTCCTCTATGCCATGCCGCTAGTCCGTTGAATTGCAAGAAAGCAATTGCTATGAGTGAGAAACAGCCATAAACAAATAACAGCAAAATATGAGAGAAAATTAGGGCACAGACATATCCTTAAAATTGTATCATCTGCTTTCACGACACGTCCCTCGACGTAGCTTTTTTTCTTGCATTCAAACGGGCAAACGGAGAAAAAAGAAAGGTATACTTCTCTGGGAATCGTAACGTGTTTAGGAATACATGTCATACACACGACAACGGATTTCTACATGGCATTGGGTGGTCCACAGACCCCTCCTTTTATCTTTTCTTTCTTATGCTGCGATGACGCGCGTGCTATGGGGGTGCGTTGCATCCTCGCATGGTGCCATACGCCGCCGTCGTGAACGACGGTAGGCAAGCACGCACCTGCACGCCTGCATGTGGTACAGTATAAGCAAAATAGGGGGCTCGGTAAGGGGTATGTGGACCCCACACCCTGTATAAATAAAGCTAAGTCTTAACTTTGTTTGCGGATAGTTCAAATAACGGGTCAGTGATATCTGCGCCGTCCTAGGTGGCGTATCATTCTCCAGGTTATTATACTGCACCGGAACCGGATGCAGGAGGTGTGCCGACGGGTTGCATACTGGCACGGGGGGCCATAAAGGCGCCTTGGCGACCGCGAGCGAAGAAATATCCCTCACCGGCGCATGCGTAAAAGCAGGAGCATGGAAGAAGAACCAACACGTTTTCTTTTTGGTCATAAATCTACTTGCTACACTTTTGGTCTAGGGTTTTGCGATATGTGTCACATGTGTTGGCAGCACTACGCGGCAACGCAATTATAGCCGAAGGCCGCCTTGGGTGTCAGGAGGCCGGGGCGGGGCGGGGCGGGCACACGCCTTCTTTCATACCGGCCCGTACAGGCCACCTCCCTATTTCTGGGGCACTTCGTAAGCGACGCAAAATAAATTGGCGTAGGCCATTAATTTTTCTCGTTTAGTTACTTTCCCTGCTGTGGGTGTGTAGGCCGTAGGGTGCAGAGGAGGGATGGGATGTGAGGCCGCCGCTCTCGGAAGCATTTCAAAATCTGGCGCCGGTCTACGAGTCAAGAGGGTGAAAAACCAGGAGAGGCACACATGTCACGGCAGAGTAGGTCTTTGGCGCAGCGTGGCCGAACGGAGGAAGAGGAAAAAGGGGGGGGGGGGGTAGGGGGCGCGAGCAGCGGGCAGCCCGCACACCAACTGAGATTTACAAGGATTTACTTTTCGTTGTACAGAGTATACATTCCCAGTTTGTGTGCGCGCCCGCACTCTTGCGCATCTGTGTGTTAGCATTAGCGCTTGTTCCTGTTCCAGGTGACGGTGTACACACCCGGCAAGAAGAAAAGACAGGCCAGGCAGTACGAGATTCTTGAGGAGGTCGGCGACATGGAGGTGGTCGGCAACCTGCTTTACACCTGTCGAGACACCTACATCACCATCACGGAGATGTTGGGTGATAAGGGCGGCTTCGCCATGCGGAAGTCAATGCAGGGTCGGCAGCCGATGGCGGTCAACGGCGACCGGCTCTGCTTCGTGACCAGGGATGGCCGCTGCATCCAGATCCACGAGAACAACAAGGAGGCAGGCTTCCCGGAGGTGGCAGGCGTGCCGGTGAGTCCCGCATTTAGGGATTTTAATTTTTCAAAAAAGTCCTTTTTGTCTGGGAAATTTTTTAAGAACCTTTTTATTGTTTCACATCATATTTTTTTTTTCATGAAAAGTTGTATTTTTATCCAATTTTGGGGGAAATGTTTTTTCTGCTTTTTTTCTGGAAAGTTTACCAATTTTTTTCGGAAAAATTTCGGACTTTGAAATCTCTAGTCCCCCTAGTCCTAGGGGTGTAAAGGCCTGGCCGCAACGGCTGCTGTGCCGCTACGCAAACTTGACGCTCGGCGCGCTCCTGTTGCAGGCGCACGAGATGGTGATCCAGGCCATGTGTTTCTCGCGGGACGGGCGCTACGTGTTCACGGGCGGCTACGACCGCGTGGTCAAGCGGTGGGACCTGCAGACGCCCGCCGAGTCGGGCGTGACGGGCGAGTACAGCACCGACCCAGTCATCTCCAGCATGTGCGCGGGCGACAAGTCGCAGATCTACGTGGGCGGCACCGCCGGCTACCTCGTCCGGGTCGAGGCGGCCTGAGGGGCGCCGAGCGCGGCCGCGGCGGGGCGCGCGGGGGAGGGTGGGAGGGTGTCTTAGGCTGCGGCGGCGCCACCCCTTCTCGCGCGCCTCGAACGGCAGGTGTCAAGACCGCAAACCGCCGGAGGGGCAAAGGCGCTGGCCGACGGTGTCCGAGCTCACGCCAGCAGCGGGACGGGGGACGGGCGGTAGTGACGGGGTGCAAGGGAGGGAAGTTAACTTCTCACTCAGGTCAATTGACCCTGTCACGCGTGTGTTCCTTACGAAGAGCACTTCAGCATTATTATTGTGCCGTGTTGTACGATCGATATAACTATTTTTATAAATAAATTGGGGCTTTCTTCCTTAATTAGGCGTATTTGTCATGCTTGTGACCATTTTGTTCCCCCTTATACTTGGCTCATCTAAATACTTGTTTTGTGTAACGTTCATGTTTGTAATGTTTAGTTGTTAAGTCATTCATCATTCGGGCGCTTCTTTACTTGCATCGCCGTTGTGATTTCTTTGGCTACATTATTATGTAATATAGTATGTACTCTGTAACAGCCCAATAAAAACAACAACTGTGGTGGTCTACAATCAGTAACCCATGCTCGTCCAGCCCCGGCGATAACCAGGTGCACAGCACAGCGTGTGCACATATTGAGGGCCAGCCGGCGGTCCTGGAGTCGCCGCGGCGGCGCCCTGGAGGCTCCAGCAGAAGCGGGCAGACCGCGGGGTCCGCGGGCTCGCGTCCAGCGCCCTGGGACCGCGCCATATGGCCGCGGCGACTCGCTTGTGCCCGCCATATGGACGGCGCGGAGCCGCTGGAGCGGGGGGCCGCTGGAGCGGGGGGCGGGGGGCCGCGGCACCTCGCACGTGAATGGGCTCGGGGACCTGCGTGGGCCGCGGGGGCGGGGGCCGTGTAGGGGCGGGCTGCACCGGGGTTCGACGCCGCGCCGCTAGGGGCCGCCCCAAGGGCCGCCCCCCCGAGCGCCGCCCGCTGCTTTGGGCCGCGGACGCCAGGTGGCGCGGGGGCGTCGCGGCGCTCCGAGCGGGGAGGACGGCGGGCCGGACGGCGGGCGCGCCCGGCTCAGCCAGCCCCTCCAGCCCCGGATCGATAGGGTTGGCGATGGCCTAACGCCTGACGTCATAGCCGGGAGGGCCCTGCCGCCCCCCGCCCCGCCCCGCCACTCTAGGCTCGACCAGCTCTCTGCTTTACCCGCGCCCGTGTTTACCCGCGCTGTGGCGAGCCGAGCCGAGCCGGGCCGGGGCCGAGCCCTGCCGAGGCCTGCAGGGCTGGGCCGAGCCGGGCCGAGCCGAGCCGCGGCCCCCCGGAGCGGGCTGGCGCGGCGGTGCTGGCCGGGCAGGGGCGGCGGGCCGCCAGCAGTGCGCCATGCAGCAGCACGGCGGGCGCAGGCCTGCTCCGCGCCGCGCCGCCCTCCGCACAGGACCTTGTCTGCTGCTGTGGCTGGTCCTGGCCCTCGGCCTGGACACCAGCCTCGCCGGCGGGCATGTCTTCACCAACTCGTTCCTCGTCCGGCTAAACGGCGACCTGGGCAACGAAGTCGCCCACCGGGTCGCCCAGAGGAACGGATTCGACAACCTGGGGCCGGTGAGTGGTGGTGCACCCGCTGCGCGTCAGGCTGCCAGGCTGGCCCTCCAGCGCGCGTCTCGGCGCCAAAACAAAGACGCGGTTAAAACGCGACAATAGGCATGTCCAGATGAGTTGGGCGGGGAGGGGCGGCTTGGGGCAGGGCTGTAACGGCGCGGTGACGGACACGTGTGGTGGCAGCGGGATAACCGGGTGCCCCGGGGACAAGGAACATAACCCTAAAATGGGTGTTTGCGTCAGCAGAGGCGTCGGTCGGTCAGCTGTCATTGGACATCCAGAAGGTGTGATGTCGCAGATGATGACGGCCGTCGGTACAGTCATTGATGTACGTGTCACATGCTTCATCCCAGTCCTAGTGGATGTTTTTGAAATATGGTGTTTCACGATTTTGCATGCTGGTGTACACGTAATCTTACTGCAGCCTGTATTGCATTATTCTTTTTTCATAAAAAAACAGTAAGGTGAGCAGTTCCGTGTTAATAAATAAAGTTTACAAAAAAAATACCGGGTTAATAAGAATGAAGTTGTGTAATTGGAGTATGTATATTACATGAGGACTTCGGACGCATGTCACCGTGGTTTGTTTAGATGAGTAAAGCTTGCAGAAGACTGCAATCTTGTCGATAGCCACCCTGTTGAGTGCACAACAGTTATGGCATAACTACGTCCATAAATTGAGTACAAAATCAACCAAACAACTACGAACAGTATTGAACAACATGCGTACACTGTTTGGTCGCCATATTAAGAGTGCATGAATAGAGTTAGACGTGAGCAATGAAAATAAGGAGAAAACAGAAACCCGTTTGGCCTTGCAGCTCTAAGGATCTAGTGCAATCAATATTCCCAATGAAAGTTAAATGAGACGGCGTGGGGATGACGTCCTGAGTCGTAATTGCATCGCCACTCGGGGAGCGGCTTGAGGCGATGAACCGCGGGCTGTCGATCAGAACAGAATGACAGGCGGCGGGGCTGAAGGGGTGAGAGAGAGAGAGAGAGAGAGAGAGAGAGAGAGAGAGAGAGGGAGAGAGAGGG